GTCATTTTGCATTACGTTTCCTGCGCTGATCGTAATTGTTATTAATTTAGATAAGGTGAATGTATTAGCGATAACTAATAATACAATATTTGCGGTAAGTAGGCCACCTTAATGTATACCTAATTACTTGTGTATGGCTGTTCTACATATTGTATGGTATAATGAATGTGAAAAAGTACACAACCTAAAATTTAATAAAAATTGAAATTTTAACTTTAGAACGGGCAATTAGCAAAAAGTATTATGTATATTTCTAAATACCAAGTGCTAAATATCGATACAGTTAGGGCACCTGATTTCAACTGATAATAATATGTCCTCAAGTACGCCCATTTTTGATTAATTTTCTTTGAATAATTTTGAAAATCAATACAAGTACGTTCGAATAAGCTAAGAGCATCCGTAACGATCCTATAATTTCTCGATCTCAGTAAACTCTAACTATAGCATTTGTTTGACTTCTAAGTAGACAGAGTCTATTAACTTACATATGATACATGCCGTTGGCTTCAAAACTTATTTCCACATACCCAAAATAATTATATTTTAAGACCGATTTTCAAGTCTTAAAGCTTAAACAGCCACGGAACTTTAATCCACCTTTTTTCTGAATTAAAAATTTTTAAGTTTTTATATAAATTTCCCTAGCCTCTGATCGGGATCATAGCTTTAGTGTTTTAGAAGCTCAGCTATATTATAAGCCAGTTTATTCTAAGCTCCCATCTATGTAAACGTAATCACGGAAGAATTTTACTCAAACTATTCGAGTTTTCGGCCAACTAAAATAAGAGCAAGGTTATATAGTTCTTTTGTGCTGATAGTTGGGAGAAGTTCATGGCAGGTCTTGAAGTTGACAAGAGAGTTCGGATAAATGCACATCAAAGCCTGAAATGATCAGTCTTCAAGCGGGTTTTAGTACCTTAGTATACTAATATTAAGTAATATAGAAAATATCTCGAAAAAGTCTTATTTTGGACTTCTCGTGCGTTTATTAAACCTCGGTACTCTTTAAATTGTTGTCAGTATCGTGTTGTGAAGTGTTTGTGGTGTTCTAGTACTTTTTTCGGATATTCTTGTCTAATGTCCCACGCTATGCGAACAGAGCATGTGGTAATTAATTTCTAAAGGCAGAACCCTTGTTTTGGCATTGACAATTTTTTTCAAGAGTTGCAAGCTTTAAAAAATATTTTCTATTTTCGCTGAAAGGTGCTTTCATCATTCCAGAAATCATAATTTTTTAGTTGTCCCCTTTATTTTGCCATGATATGCAGATTTATGCGTATGCCGTTATGCTTGAGTGTTTGTATGTAAGTAAATTGACAGCGTTTAATAAATAGGGCTGACATGGCTTGCATGCGAAAGTGATTGACCCCTATAAGGATAGGGCCTTTTATTATTGTTGTTACTTTTGATTACAGAGTTAGCTGTTGGCTTTCGTATCGCACGTGCCACATCGGTAACGAGTAATGATTGATTTGCGTGCTTTAGATGCATTTTGAAATTAGGTTCCTGACAATTTAACTAACTATTGACAAATGTGTCGCTCGGATATACATACACACAGCTACATATTACAACCATGTGGGTATGTATTTATTAAGATACAAGGTGATTTCTAAGTAACTTCTGGTCGCAGTGGAACTTTAAACTGATTACTTACCGAGTAGTAATTAAGCAACTCAAAGGTATGTAATATGAATAGTTTAAATCGCATTTTTTTATCTCAGAGAGAACTATAGTAGAAAGTTTACGCTGATATTGAGTAATCGTGTTGAACTGAAATTAAGTCTTACATGATTTTATAATGGCTTTTTGTGTTGATTATTATCTAAAAAACCTGTAATATACATATCTCTCTTGACTGTCATAATTTATTACCTCTCTTATTGCTCTCTCTCGCTTTTTTTCACCATATCCTTTTCTCTCACTTTCAAACAGTATTTTACCATCTTTTATCTCGAATGATTACTTTTTCGCATCTATGTAACCTTGCCTTTGGCCTAAGGTAGTTTTATAGTATTATATTATTAGGGGCCCGAGTTTTCTCTGTTATGTTGACCCAAAAAGCCCAAGCAATACGTTCGTTGGGTTATTATTATATTGGTTTGAATTTTAAACAGTAAAGTTTATGAATATATATGGAATTTATTTCTAAAAATTCGAATACTTAGGCACATATGTACCTAAGTAGTTTCGTCCTTCGAATTGATCGTGCGAAATAGTGGCCTTGTATGGCAATATTTCTTCACGACCTTTGGCATGTCAACGGACTACTATAGCATAAAGATCTCAATAAAAATATTGGTTTCTTATTAAGTAACATTATTTCGACTTTAAGGTTGTTTACATCGAACAACGTGGTTAAAAAGAACTAACCAAACGTTTTCCGTTGGATGTCTGCTTGATGGGCAATGTAGAGATTCGCTAACAAATTTAAATATTCACAATAAATTTTGAGCATAGCTGGCGGCAATAAATTATATCAAATTTATTTCTGCGCCTCACAATGTGACGTGACGGATGAAAATACTAACATAACTGTACTTACACATACATGGAAGTATAGTATAAATGTTTGAATATATTTGTAAGAGGCATGTTCTTGTTTGGAGACATTGTGAAAACTCAATTTCTAATTCATATTTAGTTTATTTTTACTTTTTGAAGACTAAAAAACATAAAATCTTAACACCGAAAATGTGTGGACTCCAATAGTAAAGCCACAAAATAAATAATTTTGTTCTCATTTAACAAAAAACAAAAAAACTTGAAGATACGGAACTACGCCAATGCTACAAAAGAAAACGCAACGATTAAAAAAAATAAATTATGCTGTTTCAAAAAAACTTTGCGGAAAAGTTGACCAAAATCGGTGGAGTGATGCTTACAAGTTGATAATGACCAACGTCGTGGATGTGATTCAAGTGGTACAGAGGTTTGGTATTACCAAAACACCGGTAATGGATAGTATTCCAAATAAGACTTTAAATATTGCCTAACCATCTCAATGCGAGCCATTCACAGAAATGTTTACACAGGTGACTACAAAAAGGATTCTTACCGCAAATCTGGAAAAAGCCGCGGCTGGTTTTGTTACAGAAGCCAAATAGGCCAACCGCCGAACCTAGATCTTATCGACCGCTTTGCATGCTGGATACGATTGACAAGATACTACAGTGACTAAGAGAAAGAGCGCCAGAGTCTCTTCGAAAGCCTATACGGATTTCGGAAACAGAAGTCAATCATTGATGCAATAAAAAAGCTCCCTAGCTAATAAGACAACAGATGGATCTATGGCACAAAATAGTACTGAGTAGTAGTTCAACTTATTGGCCTCATATAAGAAACGCCCTGAAGAGTAAGGTAACACCGTCTCAATTCGTGAAGATTTTATCCAGTTACCTGTCTGATCGTATTTCGTCCAAATCGCGGATCTCCATCGATACTTCATGTATTAAGGTTATTATCTGCGCCTGGTCGCCTAGCATCTGGCTATTACACACTTACTTACAACCCCATGTTTGTTGAGAGGGACAACTATTCCTAGGAGGTAGGAGATCTTGGTTGAACATTGAGTGAATGTATTTTTTGTGCGGTCCAAATATTTTCATAGGAAACCTGGTTTTTTTCGAAGAAACGTGTCCGACACTTATAAAAACTTTTTGGAAACTGGAGCAATCAAGTGGACTTATAGAAACAGATGAGTAAAAATTATTTGTTAAAATATTCTTTGATATATATCTGCGGCGAATCTTGTAACATCCAAATTATTTCCCCTTAAAAAACGGAAAGTGAACGTTTTGTACACAATATACATTTTTCTACCGTTTTGTTTTAGTTTAGGACAATCAGCTTTCCGCTTTTTGTTTTCCTTTTGGTTTCGGCATTGCCAACCATTGTAAATACAAGCATCAGCATTTCGGTAAGGTTTTGGAACTGCCAACCATCGAAATATAAAACTAATATAATTATATGTTTAGTACACCAAAAAAATCAAGGGAACGCCTCCTAATGTTAAAAATGAGGTATTCACCGCTGTTGGATCAACGAAGAAAAGCGAAACTGCTGATCAATTACTGGTGGGAAAATATCAGAGAATGCATAAATGCAAAAATGCACTAGAGCTGCCAATTATATGAGCTGAATCATATTATGGCTGGCCAACGCCATATTTATCAAGCAATGCGAGATTTAGTTAGCAGTATAAGCTGCATGAGATTGCCAAGAAATTTGACAATTCTTCGAAGAGAATAATGGTGGGGAAAACTTCTCAAGTATCCCCTAATTGTAGAGAATGCAGGAGATATCAGGCTACTTACCACCTACGAATAAGCCTGAAAACAAGAACGAAAAAGCGCAACTATCCTACAGTGAAGCGGCGAAAGTAGCCCAAATGGTCGCAATGAGCTCGTTAATATTGTATGCTGCTCCAATGTGAATACTGGCTCTAGACATCAAATCCTATGCAAAATCCATAACCACAATGCATCGACTTTCTACTGAAGCCGCAGACGTATTAGCCATTATGCCGCTTATTGATATCCAAAGAGAAGAACTCGAGCCATTTTATCAGCTAAATACAAAGAAAAAACTAAAAACTCCCGGTGATAGTTTTATGGTGGGAAATTTGACGACTTATGTGTCAGTTCACTGAGAAATGGCAGCTGTCAGCGAAGCGTCAGCTTTCATAATGACAAAACTGAGACTTTTCAACAGATTAGGTGTGCGTCAATCCACAAAATAGAAGATACTTAAAATATGTTAAATCTCCCACGAAGTAATACTTCACCGGTGGTTCCGTGGAAGCGTCTTGAGCTGAGAGTAGTTTAGGTTTTAAAGCTTCTGCTGAAAAAATGTGTCCGCTTTACTTATATATGTGTGTAATTCTCTACCAAGATTAAAAAACTTATTAGCAAATAAATCCAGAGAAAAAGGTACACCCCTAACTTAGTAACATTTTACTATAACTTATCTATTTGTTTATTAGAATTTAAATGTTATGACCAAATACGTAGACGTTTTGTATGGCTGCACATATATAAACACTTGCGTAGATATTCATGATGCCATCCACACACACACACGAACACACATGTATAAGTGCCTGTAAAATAAATACATAAATAAATTCAAATTATTAATAAGTCAATATGGTGCACATGGTGCCACGTGTCAGCGCTATGATTTCGTTTGATGACACGCGCACACACAACGCATATCCATACATGAATACATGCACCCATACATACATGCACACATACATAGCCAAATATGCAAACAGTTTTTGTCATAAAGCAACGCATTGTTGACATTATTGCCAGCAGTTGGGCAGTTTTTGTTGCTGTATATGCTTCTAATACAGCGGCACGCCGAGTAGTTGTTGTTGTTGTTATTGGCATGACATTACTGATTTCCTTTTTCCAGGCCTCTGCACTGCCACTGCTCTGCCCGACGCTTTGCCAATTCTACCGAATTGTGTTCGTATTGTTGCTGTTTTTGTTGTTGGTGTTTTCCCATCTACAATGCCAACGGTATAATGGCCGTTACTGACATGTGCGCTGTAAACGAGAAATTGAAAAAGTTACATCAATGAAAATCGCACAAAGCAACGACACAAACGCCGATCAGCTGCACCACCCGTGGACACCCCCCTTCGCGGTCCGAAATGACCTCCCCAACGACCAAACATACGACCGCCCGCTTACATATGTACCTAGATATATGTACTTGTGTATGTTGCAATTTTGCTCGTTGTTGTTGTATTGCTTGTGTCAGCCTCTGCTGGGTGCTGCGTTCTCGCAAATATCTGTTGGTCCATGCGGGTTGGCCTTGTGAGCTGGTGGTCAGTGCTGTAATCGTGTCCACAAGCGTGTGTGTGTGTGATTCCTTGTTGTTGTTGCTATTGTTGTTGATAACATGTCGTTGTAGTAAATTGAAATGGTTTGAATGACAGCAACAACTGGCCAATGTGATGACCAGCGTACAACTCAACGGGCTACGCAAGTGAGTCCACTCACTGGCTTTGCTATTAGAGAGAAAAATAAAACAATGAATTTTCAAAAAAAAAGACCATAAAAATGCGAGTATTTAGTCAAAAAAATGCTCGCTAGAAAAAAATTGTTTGAAAGAATTTAAAAAAGTATTGACAACATTGGCGCTTAGTAGTGACGGCGACGTGTAAATGTTCGAGACTCGATGATTTTCGTGTTTAAAATTGTTTTTATTTTCATTTGTTCACAAACTTTTTGCGAATTTATGTATATTTGGCAAGCTGAAAATGTTTGTAAATAACTGCCTTATCGCTGTGGTGCCCATGTCAATCTGCAGTGTAATCAAATCAAAATCGACATAACTTGTGCTTGACTAAACATTCTTAGGAAATTTTTCTATAATAAAAAATAATATTTACTTAACTGTCTTATAAAACGACAGCCTTTTGAGGGGCTCTTTATTTTTGGAAATAGGAAAAAGTCACTCTTAGCCATGTCTAGCGAAGATAGAGACTCGGGCATCGTTAATGTTTTTGGTCAAGAACTCGCGAACGAGTAAGTGTGAGCTTTTAACAAACGAAAATCGCTATGTTCAGAAAAACACGTCCAACCTTAGCGGCTACAGACTTAGGCTACAGACGGAGTAAGCAATGAATACAGCTGAAAATTTTATCGTACTTCAGCAGCATGTAACCAACATATATATTTAAAAAAAAAAAAAATTGATAATTGGACTCTCCGAACCTGCGAAATTTTAAAATTCCCGATCCTTTCTGAACACACCTCGCATACCTGTCGCAAATGCGTCTAATGATGATCATCTTGTCAATCCAATTTCGTACCACTTTTTCTCAATTAGCCGGCCTTAACCCGATAAAAACGTTCCAAGTGTTGGTTACCAATTGGTTAGTCATAGCTGATTTATTAGCTTAGATCTTCACCAAAGTAGTTCAATTAAGCCAAATTAAATGCCCCAGGGGGCTAATTATTGACCAGTAATGATTATTCAGTATTGTTCACTAACAACGCAAACACTGAATAAAATATTCTACTACTATTCTTATTGCCAAATGCTGTCCAAGAATTCTTATAGTCTTTTACTTTGCTAAATAAACGTATTGGGCCGTATCAGAGTGGCCTAGATCTGGAAAGGATAGACCAGGTATTCATAATGTGTCGAGTCTCGGAGAAGACCCTTGACCAACAGATCGACACCCATTTTTTGCGCCCGCTTTCGATAGCCCTGACTGGCGAAATTTTGTGTTCTCAGCCCATAACGACCACCGGTTGTAGTACCAAAGAAGATAAAGACCTAATGTTTTATTTTAAAGTGGGCTTTCCGATCAGCACAAATTAATTACCGTATAACATTTTTTTGTGAATTTCAGTAATAGAAGGATGACCTTTGTTTGCAGCTATGAAAATTACTGCATAGTTTTTATGTAACTGTACTTCTATAATGAAAAGTGTGTTACCTTTTTTATTTGCCGATTAATATTGAAATCTAAATTTTTTTGCGCTTAGTGAAAATGTGTCAGCAATTTATGCAAAGTTAATCAAATATGGAACATACTTTCACTTATTTTTTAATTAAAAATTGCGGACGCTTTTTCTAAAAAAGTTTTTAATTGGTTTCCTATTGAAATATTCCAGTGGCAGACATTCTCGTACTAAAAACATCTGGATATCTTATTTTTTATCGAATTTTTAAAATATTGGTAATTAAGTCTGGAATTCTTATTAAATTAAATTTTATTAGAATTTAATGTTAGTAGTCCGATTACAATATTCAATAATATTCACTTGTTATTTCAAGGTAACATACTTGTACATATTAACATTGCCACACACCTTTCATTAGTATATCGCTATTATTATAATTTACTCGAGATAAACTTTGTCTTTTTGTTAGGAACTATTGCAGTGTTTAAAAAGCGGAGATCCCAGCAATTAAAGAAAGCGTTCTTATTCTGGCAAAGACTGTGCTCATAGCAAGGAACATATTGTACAGGGATTCTTGACGTTATTTCGGAAGTGGCACAGATAAAGCTTTTTGTTCTGATGAACTTCATCCGAAGCACAGGGTGATTCATCGAGGAGACAATAGAGTGCGGCAATTTTAATTCCGACGGTTTCCCAATGCGTCTCCTAAAGGCTTAGATGCATCGTCAGGCAGCCACATATTTAGCTCGGTATCCCTCTGTCTACTTCATATAGCTATATGCTATAGTTGTCCGATTTGAACAATTTCTTCAGAGACTGAAATGTTGCCCTAAATAGTAATTTCATGATAATCTCATAACAAATTTCATGAAGAAATCTTCTTCAAAAAAACAGCTTCCATACAAGAAAATGATTTGGATCGTTCAGTTTGTATGACAGCAATATGTAATAGTTGTTCGATTCGAAGTTCTTAATGAGAAAAGGATGTGAAAAATTTTAGATCGATTTCTTAAAAACTGAGCTACTAATTCGCGTATATTTAGCTCGTCTCGCTGATTATTTATATACATATTTTATAGGGTCTCCGACCTTTCCTTCGGGGTGTTACAAAGTACGTGGGGAACTTAATATACCCTGTTCAGGGTATAAAAGAAAATCACGTTACAAACAAGAACTACAAAAATCTAATATATAGCTGTCTTCGAATCGCCATTTCTTTGCTCCCTTTTGCTCTCTCTCTTAAAAAAAATTACACGTGAAAGCAATAACAAAGTTATCAAGAGAGTATCCTCACTAAGAGGATATAACTGTTAACTTTAATGCCACCAGGTTTTGTTTTACATATTTTAGATAATTTTTACTATTGTGAATGATTCAAATGACAAATGAAAATTACATTTTTTTTTTTCATGTATTTTTAAAAGTTAAGACATAAAATCAATTATAGTAATGTATCAGCATCATCATCAGCTCCACAACCCGTGCAGGACTTCGCTTGCTGCTATTTAATTTGTTAATTATTTCTGTCCCTTGCTTGAACAGCAGCGTAGTTCCAGCGCTTCAGCGTCCTGGTCCACACCATTAATTCATCTAAATTTTGGTCTGCCTCTGCTTCTGATATTTCTGCATCTGCCCATAACAATTTGCTTAGGAGGATAGTTTTCAAAAAATGTGACCAGCCCATTATAGCTAGTTTAGTTTAATTGTTATTATAATATCTTGGTACTTGTACAACGTCTGTAGCTCGTGGTTATACCGCTTCCTCCATCATCACAAATATCTCTAAAAATTCTGCGCAAAACCTTTCGTTCAAAGATTTCTAACTTGTTTTCTTCAGCTTTGCATAACGTCCAGTTCCCACTAGCCTATGTTAGCAGAGAAGTAATCAGTGAGCGGTAGATTGAAATTTTCATCGATCTATCGAGAGTTTATATAATAGTAATTTAAAGAAAAACAAAATAATAATAATACTTGTAATAGTAACAAGTTGGAATATTATATTTAATAGCCCAAATAAATGTTCTTAATCGCATTGGGTTTCTGCAGAAATCCCTTTCCAAGTACAAAATTCAATGATTCAAGCATTCTCAAATTTAATTTAACTTATAAATTGCTATAATTGACCCACACCGTTAATAAGGAAGAAATGTAAAACATAAATAGGAAATTAGAAAGTTATGAAAAATGGAAACCAGTTTATTTTTAATTACTTTGAGTGTGCCATATCTCAATTCTTTATGACAATACGAGTAACTGCCGGCTATAATTTTCCATACTTGTGCCATAATAAAAGATAATTTAATGATAAATTGTCGCAGGCTCTCAAAAAATTTATCATACCACGACTATTGTTTGTACTTGACGCAAAGAAATTGAAACCAAAGAAGAAGGAAATAGCAAAAATAAAAAATAAAAAATCGACCACGTTTTGCCTTGTACATTATCTCATTATATAATAATGACCACACTATTTCGCTAATGAGAAAAGTTACATTTTTATGAGTATTTTGACCCGGAAAAATACCAACCGCACTGCCACAATCCGACAGGAACCTGCGCCTGCTGTCGCCTGCCTGCCAATGCAGGAATAATGTGGTTTCTACATACAAACCACCATATCTACTTGCATATGAAAAATTAAGATCGTAGGTGTCGAAGGTGAAATTTTTGTGTCATTTAAACCGACTCATTAACGTGTGCGGTCAATAAAGAGGTGAATAAAAATTCCAGCAAGCGAACTCAATAAAAAAGTAATAAGAAACAATGTAAAAAGAGAGTGGGCGAACAAAAGCAAAGCAGTTAGGCCACATTTTTTGGTCGCCTTTGACATTTAGTACAGTTAACTCTAATTGCAGTCAATGCCTGGCATACAAAGTGTTAGAGTACCGAAATGAAGTGAATAAGTAAGTCACTTCAGGGCGTTAGATTGGAGGTGTCGGACGAGTAGGGGAAAGTGCGAACAATTATCCTAGTGATGTATAAGTTATGGCAGAAATTACTATTGCATGTATAATAATATGGTATATGTGACGGTCGGAGTGGTTTCAAAATTAATTACTTGAAAGGACGGTACCAACAGTGAACTACAATAGGAGTGAAGAGTATCTGAAAGAAGGCTTAATTTTATTTTAAGTATAAATCTTTACATGGTGATTGTCAGCTTGAGCTTGATGCTAGAACAAGTCCTTAAGTCAGTAGAAGAACAAAGGCATACTCTCCACTTGAAATATGTTGGTGAGAAATCTAACTTTCTCTCGGCTTCTTACTGTTCGTTAATAAAGATATGCTGAGCTTTGTTTGGAAGGAATGTGGGAACCAAATAAAGAGTAAAGCCCATAAAAAAAAAACCAAAAGTGCCATCAAAAAGAGTTCGGTAAGGCTGGAGTTGTCAGCTTTTGGGAGACCATTTTTTGTTTCACTCACTGTTATAGAAATGCAAAGCTTCTTGCGATCGATAGATTCTTGACTTCTACTACTTTTTTTACGAGCCTTTGGTCATAAACATAGCGAGTCATATATATGGCTCAGTCTTGGAAGACTACAGTTTGTATAATCTTGTAAGATATATTCTAACTAGATTAAAAATAACGGTCTAAATATCATTAGGACAACCAGTTATTTCA